TTTATTGTAACATGGCATTATTGGGGTTTAGGGCTTCTCTACTCTATCAAAAATTTGCTTCTCACTTTGTTTTGGGTTTTTTTTGCTGTAGTCATCTTGATAAACTTCATTAAGGATATGGTGAGTATGAAATGTGGATACATCATTCCGGTACATTGGCCCATACTTTGCTATCGATATGTGCACCGGAGGTTTGATCTTATTCGTCTGAGAAAAGTTAAACAAGGAAAAAACAGATGCATTTGACCTAGAAGTCTCCTCATATCTTATCTACTGGGACGATATATGCTAGTTTTCGAGTTCAATACTTGCTCTTGCCGAGTATTTCTTCAAGTAAACTTGTTATTGGTGCTACGAATGAAGTAAATTCATCTTCCATGGTTCCAATCTTTGCAAATCCATTTTGGAAGGAAATTGTGGTATTGTCAAACCGACCCATCTTGAATTCGAGATGATGTTGGAATTGTTTGATATTCGTTTGGAGGCAGTTCTAGTGATAGAGTTTGTTCGAGAAATTCCTCTCAAGTCATTATTGTAATTTATTAGAAGTTTTTTCTTTGATTGCAATTTATAAAAACAATTGGAATTTGCTGTAATTTTTAATTTTTTTGGCATTTGTTGTAATTTATAAAAAGTTTTGGTATTTTTTTGTAATTTATAAAAAGTTTGGCATTTGTTTGTAATTTATAAAAGTTTTGGTCTTTATTGTAATATATCAAAATATTATTTTTATTTTTATTTTTATTTATATAAAATTTTAGACTTTTATTGTAATTTTAAATTTTTATTTTAAATTTTTTTAAAATTTAAACAAAGAATTACGACGATCTTTTCTTCGTCGTTTATACAGTAAAAATTTAATATTATTAGTGACAATATGAATGATTAATGATAAAATTTTATTTCATATAGTGACGCAATTAGTTGTCACTTAATACAAATTATAAGGTGGCGTTATACATAAACATCATTATATGTTTAACAATAAGTGATGATAAAAATATACATCGTCACGCTAGACATTTAGTGACACACCTAGAGTGACGAGCGTCGTGACGTCGAATTTTATGTCACAAAATACAAATAGTGACGTAAATGTAGGTTTCAATGACAACATTTTCAACGTAAAAAATTATCAAATTTTTTGTAGTGTTTTTAAATTAAAATTAATATTTTTTTGAAAATGACAAATATATTTTTGGGTGCTCAATCACATCATACTCAAAGATTGGTGGCGACTCCACGAACTGATTTTATTGTTTTTAAACTCAAGTACCGAATTATTTGAGGCGAACATTTTTACAAAATCTCGATTATTTTTTTAATCGACACCATATATTTTTAAAAGGAACGTTTCGACACATATACATGAGTAAAATAAAACAACGTCAACAATGTCTTGCATGTACATTTTGGATAAATATATTTATGACTATCATAAACAAAATATATCAGTGTGCGATCAGTGATAACCTGAAGAGCAAGATCGTGAATAATTGAGACAATGACATATAAAGATAAAGCACTCTTAAGTCCCCAAATATCAAGCATAGAGGAGGATAGCGGAGGAAAAATTGATGAATATCCAAAGCAGATAAATGAAAGACCAATCTTTCTTTAATCGTAGTCCCATCCAACAGAGATATATAACAACCAACAGAATGTCATATACACAAAACGAAGAGGCCATGCATCTGGAAAGCAAGTAGCCAATAAATTTTGTAAAACCATAGACCAAGAAGAAGACTAGAAGACTAATGAAAGAAATTTACACCATGAACTTAAAAATACTGATAGCCATGACATTTTTTATAAAAGAAAAAAAAAAGAGGCCAAGAGAATACATTATTATAAATACGTAAAATATAACCGAAAATTGATAAATCAAACTACAACCAACGAAAAATTAACAAAAAGAAGAGTAGAAACGACAGGGCACTAAAAGAGGATTTAATCTTGTGTCAAAAGATTAGCTGTGAGGTTTGAATATGATGTTGTGTCGAAGGATTAAATCAAATGATGAAATCATAAACAAATGTATGATGAATTAATAGTGTGAGGTGTGAATACGATATTGGTAGACTAGTAGTTTTATATTCCCTACGTAAGGAAATTGGTAGAGTGAATGAGTTGTCACCAATCAAATGGCCCTATGCCGATAATTGACCATTTGTGAAAACGACAGCGGGACCCACATCACATGCACTTCATCTCATCCCCTGCATTTCATAAAAGTGCAATCAAACAAATGGGACCCATTTCCAAACAAATTCAAAATGTAGGGGTCCCCTATTTTTCTTAGGATGCTAGCTTTACTAATAGATTCGACTTGCGGACATTTAGTTTAAATTTTTATAAGCTTAAGCTTTTATCTCAACTATTATTTTTGTTTTAATTATTTACTTATTTTTATTTTAAAATCATACTTCATATTATATTTTAGTTTTTTTTTCTTTTTGCTTGGATGTTTATCTCTTGATTCTTCAAGTTTCATTGATGTGTTTATATAGTGAGAAATAAGTTTGTAGTCGTTTATAGTCGTTGGAATGAAATCTAATCATTTATAGATCTTTTCCCAAGCATTATCAATGTATTCTATAACTAATATTTTTAAACTTTTAAATTGAGTTTCAAAACTCTACTTAAAAATATAGTCATTGAAGGTTTTTTAGGGGACAAAATTTCATATCTCAATAAGAAATTGTGAAACTCACTATTAATAAACAATACTATACCGCCTTAAAATTTTGAGTCAGCGAATTTGAGTTGACCTGAAAGGTTTATGAATCGATGTGATTAAGTAATCAGAATCTTTTAGTCGAGTTTGGGCCTAATCAGTTGAGAACTGGGCCCAAATAACCTTAAAATTGGGGGTTGAGTTCAGAACAAAAAGAGGAATGACCAGATAGGTAATTAGACCATTTAAATTTTAACTGGTTGAATTCCATTTATTATGCATGTCACCTGGGGATATTTTAAGGAAAAAGTTTAAAATTTCTCCTATAATTTTATCTTTCTTGCGCTGCATTTCTAGTCCAAAATTGTGAGGCCAATGGTGATAGTCAACACCTCCTAAGCTAGTTCAACTCATACAAGTCTATTTTGGCATTTTAAATACTTTTCAAAACTCCTTTTGAGGTCCTAGAGGCGTCAATAATCTCTGCTTTACTTGTTTGATTAGCGAAAGAGTTGAGAGAGACCTCCAAAAGCAAGAACATGAAAGAGTTGGGAGAAACCTCCAAAAGCAAGAACAAGGAGATATTGATTCTAGGTTGAGCAAGAGAGGTTTTTAGTTGCTTGAAGCTGAAGTAACACACTCCTAACTCATCTATACTACTTGTAGCTTATTATATTTAACTTGTTTACTTGTGTTTGTTGTTGAAGCATGTTTTGGTGACTATATTGCTTGTGGATTGGTATGAAAGATTTGGACGTCAGAAAAGTATAAAAATGGTATATTATGATCTCTTAAGACTTTTATAAGCTCTAATAGGTGTCTTGGGGCTTAAAACAACGGTTTAAGATGAATTTGAATATAATGTTTAGACAAACCAGAGTATTTCTAAATATGAGTATCGATACCAGATAAGCTGGTATCAATATTGGTCTTGATGAGGGAAAAAAGCATATAGGTCAACTAACCAAAGTTTTATAATAGTATTTTAAAACGTATGCCTATACAATTATAAGAAAAAGAAACACATTTTCAAGCATAGCGGAATAGTTGGAAGTATTTTAGATTTTCCTATTCTTTTAGAGTTTTTTTTAAATGTAATTAACTAACCAAACTGTTTTAATCACAGTAAATTAGTAGTTTACGGTCATGATCGAGAGTACAGAATGTTGTATGATATATAGGGTAGATTTATATTTTTGTTATTTAAGTTTAGTTTTGAGGTTGAATTTAGTACTTTCTTTCTTTTTTCTTCTAACGAAGTATTTATATTTAATTTTAAGGTTTAATTTAATATTTAAATTTTTTATCTTGTAAGATATTTAAAATTGATTTTATCGTTCAAATTGATATCTGAATTTGACTTTTCGATTCAAATTAATACTTTCTGGTTTTAAACTAATTTAAACTAAGGAACTAAATTTTATTACCAAGTTAAATAAAAAGGTCAAGTTCATGTACCTAAATAGATAAGAAAAAAAGTTTAAATATCAAATTATATCTTGAAATTAAATTTATATACCTATTTGGACTAGAAAAAACCTCAAATGTCATATCGAACCTTGAAACTAAAGTCTAATATCAAAATATATAGGTATAATGCTGAAATTAGTCCCATAACGTTTAATCGAACGGTCATTTCGATTCATATTATTTTTTTTGGAGCACTTTAACCTTCAACAATTCAATTTTTGTCAAAATAACCTCTATTGGATGAAAACCGCTAGTTGACTAATAATCAACATATGTTGTTGACGTTAAATTTCTACATGTGCTAAAACTATTAACGTGTCACATATAATGTCACCTTAAGATGATGATGTGATATATGTCATGTCAACTAAAGTGATGATATGACATGTAGTAATTTAACACAAGTGAAAAATATTTCTTAGTCAGCTAATATCTTTCATCCAACATGGGTCATTTTTATCATAAATTGAAACATTAAGGACTAAAATGCTAAAATAGAATAGAGGCTATAGTGTGCATTCTAATAAACGTTGGGGGACTAATTTTGGTATTATGCTAAATATATATTAACCCAAACTATCTACAGATAAATGGACTTGAATGATACTTTTGTCAAAACGAGCACTCGTTTTCATGGAAAGAAAATATTCTGCAACATCAGAATTTTGGGCAAATCATTCACTTTAAACCATTTTTTTCCGAGTAGGATGATTTCTTTTTTTTCCAATTGATTACCAGGTGAAAATCATGTCTTAATTACGATTGGATTAAACTTCTTTTGATATTTCCATTTTCTGGGTTTTGCAAATGGAAAAAAGAAACAGAAATAGAAAAAAAAAACAAGGCAAAAGGATGATGATGATTAATGTTTATTACTATTATTTTGGTTCAACGTCTGTCCATAAAGGAAGTTTCACTTTCCACTGATGGATTAAGGAGAATTTTCCATTTACTGGGTTTGTCACCTTTCCCATCACATCGTCAACCCTTCTCTTTCTCCTTCTCCGAATTCCATTTTTTTCACCGGAAAACGTGATCTTGGTTAGAATGGTAGTAGTTTAACTTCCGTTTTTGCCTTTTTCTTGCATTCTTTCCTTGAAATACATTCATGGAGTTTTTTGCCTTTAGCTCCACTGTTCAGGACAATACCAATGAAGACTCGGAGCTTGCTCATCCGAAAAGAAATTGCAAGCTTCATCATCTTCACTGAAGAAATTGTGTTCTTCCATCTTCACATACTGGTGGGGTTGAAAGGTTGTTTTGGAGAGATTGAAGCAATCCATGGATGATGGTGAAGAAGACGACGTTGTCGATGATATAAACAACGAAGAAATAGCCGCGTTGTTGGGGCTACTGTTGTTGTTGATGATGATGTCTTCATTCAAGATAGCACTCGAGTCACTGTCCGATGACCCGTCTTTCGAGCCAACTGATCCATTGCTGTTGTTGAAGCTCTCGTAGGTGAGATCTGCAGGCTCTGATGAAGTAGCCAAAGAGGGTTCACTTTGTTCCAGTGATTTGTCATCAGTAGTTTCAGGCACAATCACCTCTTTCACTGAAACATTGCTCTCGGTGCTCTCCCCATTATGCTTCGCCTGCAACTCTCTTTTCTGCATAACAATTGAACACAATTCTAATCATCCCATATGTTCACATACAAGTGAAAGAGTATAATTTATTAATTTTACCTCCTTGAGAAGAGCTTCATTGTCATGTTGGATAGCTTCATAATTAGCCTTGAGCGTATCATAACTGGTTTTGAGAAGCCCATAGTCCCTTTCCAATTGCTTGGTCTTCCACCTAGCACGCCGGTTTTGGAACCAGACAGCAACTTGTCTCGGTTGCAACCCCAGCTCTTGAGCTAGTTTCACTTTCCTCTCAGGTTCGATCTTGTTTTCGACCTCGAAATTCTTCTCCAACGCCTTAACTTGATCCACACTTAATCTCCTCTTCTTTTCGAACACATGCCCCGATTCTTCCAGGCACCCTTCTTCATCATATCCGTCGAACATCGACTGGAACTCCCTGCTGTATATATAGTTGTTTCTCGGACCATGTTCATCTGCAGACCAAAAATAAACAAACAACTTTAATTACAACTTGGTTTCACGTGTAAATAGTAAATCCCAAGAAAATTAAATGAAAGTACAAAATTGGGATTGTTTTTATTTGGACCTGTAGTTGGACAGATGGACATGAAAGCTCCAAAAGAATCTGAGCTGCCAAGTGATCTCTTCATGGTTGATGAGCACTAACGATTTCAAACAGATCTCTCGTTGTTTTAAGGAAGTGGTATTGAGTGAATTGTTTTGGTCAGATGTTTAAGAAATTTTACAGAGATTTGGAAGAAGAGAAAGACACTTGTCTAAAACCAGACCAGCTTGGACAAGGTTGTAGTGGTTTACAACTGTAGAAGAAGCAGTGCACTGTTTCAACTCCCCCACCATTATATTTCTTGTCTTTCTGCAACACAGTTTCTTCACTTGTCTCGGTTCCCATCCAAAACAAACCCAAGTTTTCAACAATATGTATGAACAACCCCAGCTGGTGTTAACCAGTTTCCATGGCTATAAATAAAAGTAAACAAGGGTGACATTTGGGGTTAGAATTTTACTGGGGTTTGGTACGCACACCACCACTCAAGGTTGGCTAAATGCAAATTAACACCAAATTCATTTCAAATGCAATTTCTTTTCTTTACCCGTTTCATTTATTTATTAATTTTTGGTGGGTAAAAAGTAAAAATTATGTATGGTGCTACAAAAATCATACTTTATATATTGGTTCTAAGTTATAAGAAGAATTTTTTTCTTAATTTAAGGTGATGTTTAAAATAGATATTTTTATGAATAATAATTATTCTTTTAACTATTAAGAAGGTTTGATTCATGCTATATCAAGAGAGTAATATTTAGAATTTTGGGTTGAAACGAGTGTGCAATTTAACATTTAATTTTTTTAAATGTATTTTTGCTTGTATATTTGTTGAAATGTCATCTTCAATTGATATAAACAAATTGTTTTCCGATTTTTATATCGCAATTATTTAAATATTTCATTTCTTGCCCACTTCCACGAAGTCATCAATCGTATGGGTTAACCGATAGCTGTAGATACTCCACATTCCACAAGATTTGCGTTTCAGTTCTTTTACATTTTGATTCCTTCATGGATGGATATAGAGGAGATGTTTAGGTAGTCCTCTCCTTAAAATTTTAAATCCTACTTCGATCATATATATATATATATATATATAGAAAGAGAGCGCTCATTTCTTTTTTTTTATTGCCCTCCCAATTTTAAGGTTTCACTTTGATTAATCTGGATCGACCCACATCGCACGCCTGGATTTGGTGGGCGAGTCTCTCAACAAGGATTTTTTGAATATATAAAGGACTTGAACTTGAGACATTGCTTGAACGATATCAAGTTATTTACCACTTGAACCAACTCCTGTAGATAGATGGCGCTCATTTCTAACTATATTTAAAATATTATATTATAACATTATGTATAGAGTGCCCAAAAGTCTATGGTTCACAAACTTTAATGGCAAAAACAAGCATTAATGGACCTGTTTTTTCTCCCACCAATCAACCATTGTGTTATGGCTCCATACTTTGACCTACAGTATGAGAAATCAATTTTGTCTGCATTAATGCTCCATCATTCTCAATAAATTTTTTACTTTAATAGTAAAGTTTAACCGTGTTAGTAGTGCCCGATGGTATGGAACACAGATAAAGAACACACAGGGCCACCAAAAAGGAATCAAATCATGACACTGTGCTCTAATTGAGTTAAAGTGAAGCCAAAAGTTGGGGTCCAATGAAAGTTGATGGTAAACTATGTTTCTGAATCAAAGCAAATTAAGGGATTCATCATTCAATGCATCTTCAAAGCAAAGGATAATGTTTTGATTCATCAGCTGACTCCTTGTGGTGAAGAACAACTGATGAGTTCTTATCATACAAAGCTTATGTATTGTCAATTTTACAGAAAGCTGTGATACATAAAGCCATGATGATCATCAATGGGAAACCATAAAAGAATTGGCTGGTGATTTATGGGGGAAAAAACAGTGGGGGACAAAGGAATCATTTCTTTGATGACAGTTGGGGTTTTCTTGGATACTCTGGGAAACCCAAGGGAAGAAGAAAATGATGACTTGTGACTGGTGCAAAAGCTTCAGATAGAATTTTGTAGGGATTCATGCAACTCATAACTGATTGATTTGGGTAATGAAAACTCCTTTGAACAAAGTTACAAAAAGCAGATAATGATTAATTTTCCCCCTACAAGACAATATGGTACTCGTCCAAAGTGACCATAACTTGCAGTCTAGTCATACGAGTCATCAGTCCATATCCAAAACAGGAACACATGAGAATATGGTGGCATCTACCCCCCATGTTTTGCCAACCTCTTCTCCCTCAATTTATATGGAACAGTGAATCCTACATCTGTTTCTGGATTCACTCGGTCAATTTTGAGGCCCGAGAAGAAAGGTTCATGGCGATTTATACTAACAGAGACCATGCAGTAGCCTTTTCTCCTGCTGCATAGAGAAGCAAACAGAACCCTGTCATCCATTTAAAGGCAAAAGGCGATCACATGGCTTATTGTGATGGATAACCGAGTTGAATGGGGTGTTTTAAAAGTGACAGGGAAGAGGAACTTGAATATTGGTTTTTCATAAGGTTTTTTTCCCCCCCATACTTGGCAAAGACAAGTCTTTTTTTTTCTTTGGATAGCTACAAACACCAAAGGGCTATGAGCAACTCTATGCTGAATCTAATAAGGAAAAAAGGAAATTCAAAAGAAGAAAACAATTAAAAATTTTCACTTGGTGGATGGGCTTTTTGGAGTACCCTTCGTGGTAGGCAGCTTTACCTTTTCTGCTTTCTTTGCTGTTTTATGAGTGCTGTCCAAAGGCTAATTTATAAAGTATAGGAAAGCGAATTTCAACTTTGTTCACTTAGTTCATTCAATTATTCTTGTTAAAATATTTACGATAAATTTAAAATTAAATTTTATTTTCAGATTATGATAATCTTGAAAACTTTTATCTTTCATTTTTTTCTTTGTATTTTATAATGATAATTTATTTTCGTTCGTAGAATTAGTTTGAATTCCCCTAAAACTTTAGAAGTTCACCATGGTATAAAACCTTGCGTCTTTGTCGATGGGATACATCTTTCAATTAAAATTGTAGATAAACAACATATTTAATACCTTAACTATCACTTTTCTTTCATTTTGGTCATTCAATTATTATTTTTTGTTTCAAAATCATACCTAATGTTATGTTTTGATTTCATTTTGATCACCCACAGTCAAAACATTAACAATGATGCTTGCATGTCACCATAAGGTAATGCCACATAATCATTGAATATTTTTTTAAAATGTCACATCAACAATTCTATTAATTTTTTATCAACGGGTGATCAAAATAAAACCAAAACATAACGTTAAGTATGATTTAAAAAAATAATAGTTGATTGGCCAAAATGGAACAAAAGTTTGAGTTGGAGTATTAAACGTGTAGTTTACCCTAAAAGTTGTGTTGAATGTGACAAATGGTAAAATAAAATCATTGATGGATATAGATCAGTTATCATAGAGAAGAAAGTACCACAAGTCTAGTAAAACAAATGCTGGTTTTATCTGACTGAGAATTGTTGGTGTGAGCACAAGAGCCAAGGATTTGCACGATGTTTGGAAAGACCATTAATGGTAAGGAGAATGAAGAGAAACCATGAACAACTTCCAATGGTGTGGGTGGTATATTCTCTGATTTCTTTGGAGCACATTTGAAAGCTAATCATGCAGTTTTATGATCATTTGCTATATAGCATAGTGGATCATCCTTGGTATAGTTTGTTGTTGTATAATTAGCAACAATGGGTTTAGGGTTGAAACTGTAAGAACCAGTTTTGCATTAGCAATGAAGTAAAATGAGATGGCTGAGATACCCGTTAATTATGAATAAGCCTGAAAACCCCCAAAACACTTCCCGGGTAGACATGTCAAATGGGAGGGTAGGGTCAATATAGGTTTAATTTTTCTAGATCGATTTTGAGTGGGGTTAATTTCAGATTTAAATATAAGGGTCAGGATTTTTCTAATTGGGACATCTTGAGTAATGTTCATTTTATGTTTAATGATTCGAGTTTAATTTAAAGAGAAAATTAATTCTTATCGAATAAAATTACATTTAAAAATATTTATAATTTCTACTCATATTTTCATTTTGATAATTAAAATTATTCGAATCGAATCATAAGTTTTTATAAATAAATTATTATAATTTAATATGTAGATAACTATTTTACACAAATCACTGATCTCATACAATATGATAATAAAAAATATTATAGTTTAAACCTTTTCAAAAAAAAAAGTCAAAATAATATATTGATTTAAACATAGTTCAGTTTTTTAGTATCGTGGCGGTGTTCTGACCTTTTCCATACGTTACTTACTTCTAAATCTATTTTTTATATGGTTTTAGACAGACTCTTATAATTATCTTCAAAAATGATTTTTTTTTAAATTGGTAGAAAAATAATTTTATGAGTGTTCAATTATAACTATCTCAAAATAATTGATAATGATTTAGTTTTCTCAAAACACGAATAATTTTTATGAAATTATTTTTAGACCTAAAAATAATGTCTATGTTATTGATAATAATATTTTTATTTTTAACATTAGATCACTAATGAATTTAAGGGAACAAGGCGGATTGGGGGGGGGGGAATACATATAGTATAAACATAAAATTTAAAAATACTCAAAAACAATTGTACTATCTTGCTCTAGGTGCAAATTGCATGTAGAATTTAAGAATATATTTAATTTAAAATTATTTCTTCAGATTAATTTCATGTAGAATTAATTTTGTGTCAAATCAATATTAATTTCATCTTGCTGATCGCGAGACTCCCAGCAAGCTATTTGTCTGAAGAGCATGTTACACCATTTTGATCTCGAGATTTTGTCGCATGATCCTTAAAAGATTCTTGAAATATCTCGATTGAGGAGAATACAATTTATAAGTCGCGTCTAATTTATCTCGTATATTCAATCATTGTGTTGTTTAACTGATTCAGTTCTCGCGGCTCTCCATTTAAATTAATTGAAGTGAACCACACAATTACTTGATGCAAGTCGCGGTCAACTAGACATGATCTACAAACCGTGTGATGCTGGTGCAGGAGAGCATTGCTGGGTCTGTTTTAGAGTTCTTTAGTAGCAATGACCGATTGTTATAACCATTTGAGAGCTCTGTTCACACCTCCATCATCTAAAATTCTGTCCTAAACTTTATTTAGTGTCGGTATCCAATGACAATAGATACATCAACAGATTGGTGCCGTTGCCAGTCCAAGTCCTAAGCTGACACCGGCTCCGGCTCTGGTTTCCATTTGCTATTTCTTAGCATGTCTCTGCATCTCTGTTAATATGCTATTATCATGGAAGTTGAGTGCAGAAAGTGACGCTCTTTCAAGAATGGGATTACTCAGACCTAAAAGGGAGACAGATCCAAAGACAAATTTCCTGTTTTTTGATGTTTGGTTTTGGATCAAAAACTGATTCAAAGTTGTAATATATATAATTCAAAACAAATATGTACAACCAAATGCAAAACCAAAACCAAGGCAAATCGCCAGAGCAACTAACCATGACATTTTGTCCCCATTATTTTCACTCTCTTCCTCCAAACTTTCCCCCTCTGTTTTATCACAACGCTTCTTCTCCTTGTCCACCATTTGCGATTTCAGCACCCAGACTTGAATCTCAAGCAGTCTCACCCATTGCCGATAAGCAAACAGCTGCAACGAATCTTTCATAAATGCATTCGATAAATGATGCTTTTCCTCCGCCAAGCCCGCCGCCTTCCTTTCCGCTTCCCTCGCACGCGTTTGTGACAATCTCAACGCCTTGAAAATTTCCAATTTCGTACCATCGTCACCAACGCCGTCGCTCCCACCACGAAACCCATCGTCGTCTTGATCGTCCTCTCGTCCCATGATGTTGTAAACCGCCCTGCTATTCATCGACATCAACTCCATCGCCTTATCCAACCGGGTAAACACCTTGACTGGTGGAGGAAGATCACAGTTTTGCATCAAATCAATGCCGTACTTCTTGGAAACGAGACCACCTAACATGGTAACATCGTTATCTTTACCAGCAACGGAACAATTAAACTTGTGCTTAACGTTCGCTGCCATGGCCGATGTCTCTATCAATGGTTTCCTTCAATTGGCTTGGATCAGAAATTGGAAGGACTGGGTTAGGGTTAGGCGTAGAAGGACGAAAAGGAGTTGGTGGGTTGGTATAAGAGAGAGAGTAGCGCAAGGAAGATGCATTTTTCCATAGTTGAAATTCGTTTCTTGCGAGCTTAGACTTGCCTTAAGCTCTAATATATTTATGGTTGCTGAAGCCCCCACTCCACCCTTTCTCAACATTTTAATTTACTACTACAAAAGGGATTATTGGGGAATACTTCTACACTTTAATATTTTAGCCTACAAGAAAAAAGGATTATTGGGAAGTTATATCGTGCTCCAACTTTAATATATGGCTAAGTAAAGGTGTTACTGGTTTTATTATTATTTTTTTAACAAAATCAATAAAAAAATTACCTAAAATATTATTATTTCTACCTAAAACATTAATGTTTTTTAATATTTCCGGTAAAGTGCACAATAATAACAAAACCATTAAAAAATAATGTTTTAGGTAGCGCTTTACCGGATATATTAACAAAACCGGTAAAGCGCCCATTAAAAACAAAACCGGTAGAAATAATAATGTTTTCGGTAATTTTTTACCGGCTTTGTTAAAAAAAATCGGTATCGTATTTTCTTAGCCATATATTAAGGCTGCCGCACATGAAACTTTTCCAAGACTTTGGTTTTATTTTATTTTGGTGGTTATTGTCGACAATCATTTTCGTCCGAGCTTACTTATTTATAATAATATTATTATATAAATATTATATTACTATTATTATTTATATTATTATTATTACAAATAATACAATAAATATGGAAGCCCAATTACAAGTCTTGGTAATACAACCTAGAGAAGTGAGAGTTTCTCTCTCTCCTTAGAGAGAAGAAAAATGAAAAAAATAAGGGTTGATGGCCTTAATGGCTGGTTATATGGGTATTTATACCCTCATCAAAACTACGACGTTTTGGGTAAGGGCCTTTGTGTAATTTTGATAATGGACAAACCTCGTCTGTGGTCCCTTTATGTTGTAAACTTTGCAATTTGGTCACCGAAATCAGGTTTCTGTGTATTTTAATTTTGTTTTCAAATTTTACTTTATTTCTTTTTTAGTCACTACCTGTATGTTTATATATTTAGGGTAAATATCTATTTTAGTCCCTATTATTTTAATAATTTTTTATTTTAGTCCTGAATAATTAATTATGGTTAAATTACACTAATAGTACCTAACTTTTGTAATATTTTGAATTAGGGCCACTATTTTTGTTATTTTACAATTTAATCATCGAACTTTAATACTGTTAATTTTTAATAGTATTATTAGTTTATTTGCACTTTTAGTAACACAAATATGAGTTATTTACAGTTTTGGTCTTTTATATTTTCATGTTTTAATCATTAAAATTATTATATGTAATCGGGACATATTATTTTATACAATGAATAATAAAATATTTCCTTAACTTTTTAGGAATGTATTTTAAATGATTTGTTGGTATAAAATAATATCCTTAATATTTTTTGAAGGGATTATAAATTAAATTAAATTAAATTTAGATTTATAAATTTTACTGCAAAGACATTAATTAATAAACAAAGGTACTAATTTTGTGCGTTGTGGGGGTGCTAATCTTTTCCCACACGTAACCGACTCCCGAACTCATTTTCTGGTAAGCAGACCCTTTTTGTGTTATTTTAATATTATTTTTATAAATTTTATTAAAATAACATAGTATTTTTTGTGGCAAAAATGTCAGAATAAGGCAATATGGGAAATTTTCCCCCACAATAACGTGGTTCCAACATTATTTTTCCATCTAAGGTATTTTCTACAGTACACGCCTAAAGACCCCAGGATATCTCGGCGTCTTCAGGCTAAAATTTTGTTCCATGGGATTACTCGGCGTCTTTAGTTAAATTCTTCCTCTGATTATTGTGCATTGTTTGGCGATTTTCCTGAAAAATCACTTTTTCCTTAAATATTTACGTGTCAGACACCCTTTGAGATAATATTCTCGATCTAACACCCTTTGCAGAAAGGAGCGGTGCATGACGTTGATGTGGCATCACGTGGGGTAAGGCGTGACCCATATTGGGGCAGAATAAATACCGAAGACGTGGCCCAAGCACCTTGCATCCCACCGACCCAATTGACCGTTCACACCCTCCATCCCACCCTATAAATACCCCCTCTCAACTATTTTCACCACACCAAATCCTCTCAAATTCTCTAAAATCATCTCAAAAACCAAATCTCGTTCAAATTTTATTTATAAGGTATATTTTATTATATTTAATATTTTGTTTGTATTTTATTTAATTATTGTATTATTTAATTTTTTTAGTATTTTATTTAATTATTTTTTTTGCAGTTATAAAATGGAAGGCGGTCTGATTCGTTTGGATGGAAATCTGTATAAATGAAACAATGATGTTGGAAATCTGTACTGAAGCGACGACATTCTTCTAGTACTTCCAACATGAACATTCCTTGAAATCTTCATTATCACCTCCTCAATAGTTATGTTTCTCTTTAAGGATATTTTAATATAATGATTTGATACGAAAACAACGCCGTTTCATCTTCTCGAATTTCTCTATCATAATAAACAATAGCTGAAATTCGCGACATTCTAAGAGTTTGAAAGGGAGACAGTATTATATCTGCAAAAAAACCTGAAACAATTAAATAAAGAATATATGAATTAAAAGGTTTTAGATCGGGAATATTATCTCAAAGGGTGTCTTACACGTAAATATTTAAGGAAAAAGTGATTTTTTGGAAAAATCACCAAAAATGCACAGTAATAGAAAGAATTTAACTAAAGATGCCGAGTAATCTGATGGAGCAAAATTTTAGCCTGAAGACGCCGAGATATCCTGGAGTCTTTGGCGTGTACTGTAGAAAATACCTTAGATAGGGAAATAATGTTGGAACCACGTTTCTCATACTGCCTTATTATGGCATTTTTGCCTATTTTTGGTGACCAATCACACCACGATTAATGATTGGTAGTGACTCTTCTAATTGTGTTTTATCTGATTCAAAAAAGAAAAACACTTATTTTTTCGAGGCGAGATTTTAAAAAGCAACTATACTTATTTTCGTCAGGCAAATTTCGTCTCGACAGTTATAATCTAAATTTATGTTAAGATTCTCATAATACTGGTAAAGTTGTTTGAATAAATGATAATCTAAAGTGCAGTAGAAATTATTTATTGAATTAGAATTTTTGTTACTGTACTCGATAGAAGTTTTTAAGATTATACGACTATCTTATGGAGGCGATACAGAAGAATATGATTTTGGACAAAAATTGTTGTATAATCTTGACAACTTTCAGAAATTGTTGTGTAATTCTGATGATTTCCACCGAATACCGTAGTAAAGATTCTAATATAGGAAATAACTTCTACTACACCTTATATGTGTCATTTTTTCTCACTCCATTATTCAAATAAAATTACCCATAATATTGAATTTTTTTAAATTATAATTTTATTTAATAAATTTAATATGTTATTTTATTAAATTAATTGATTAAATCATAATTAAATGTGATAATGGTTATTCTTTATGTGATATTTTATATTATTGGTTAATATAATATAAATTATTAAACAAGCTATAATATTAAATTTAAATATGTCATGTTAATTATATTAATAATGTTGATATGATATGGTATTATATTTATTAAATGTGATGTCTCAATGTTTATTCTAGATTATTAATATTTCTTTTTGTTAAGAATTCATCAAATGAATTTAGTGATTAAGGGAGTGTTATTCTCTCTCGAAATTCTGAGTTTAAGCAGATGCGTTTGTAGAGTGTGTATGCGTTGTCAATAACTAAGAAATATTATGAACATATACTAGTTTACAATCACTCTGGACTATTTTAAAAAATATTTTTTTTCTTTGTTGATTAACGATTAATATTTCCTTTTAGTTAAATTGGAAGTGAGCTTCAAGTTCAATCACGTTGGCTGATATTAGTTGAACTTACCATCTTGATCCTTGTTTTTCACAATTAAATTATAATTAGATTGTTAATGAACCTTTGAAAATCCAAAGGAAAATGTAAGATAAACATCTTTGCACTCTCTCTACTATAGGATAACCGAAGATTAGAGAACCGTCCAAAGATTCTATCTCGAACAATCCACAACATGTAAAATTCTCATATATATATATATATAGAGAGAGAGAGGGGGGTTAGGATCCACTTATACAATGTAAAACTGTTTAGTTTTACACAAATTTAGGATCGTTAGATGAGTGAAAATAGATGGTTGAGATTGACTCTTGTTTTTTTTCCAGTGAATATCTTCTCATTTCCTACTGTTAATCTCAGCCATCTATTTTCACTTATCCAACAGTCCTAGATCTGTGTAAAACTAAAAGAGTTTTATATTGTCTAACGGTATCCTATCCCATTATATATATATATATATATATATATGATTAGAGAAAAGTACATAAATGATCTTCTGATTATGAAATATTATTTTATTAAATCATTTGACTATTAAAAGTTAGAAAATGTCACTTGACTATTAATTATGATCCAAACCCGTCCTTTTTCATTAAACAATTAACAGTAGTCTTAGATGAACTTTAACTTGCTGACTGTGATATGATAAAATTTGATCTCATAATTTCAAACGATTATCATATCTTAGTCAGCATGTTAGTGTCCAACTCTGATGAACATTAAATTTTTAAAGGAAAAGGACGATTTTGCAACATTATATATAGCCGGGTAATCATTTTGTTACTTTTAATAGTTTAGGGACTCAACAAAGCATTATTCTATAATCATAGGACTATTTTGTAACTTTTAATTGTTGAGGGCCTCAATAAAATAATATCTTTGGTCAATGGACCATTTATATACTTTAGCCTTATAATTAATGGCCCAAAATTTTAATTGTGATGACGATTTCTTCCATTTAATTCCCATTAATTAGTTTTTCAAATACATTGCTCTAGAATAGAATCCAAGTGATGAGTTAGGTATGAATCACTTCAATAATTTTATATTTTTACAGTGATTTATATATATATATATATATATACTGTATATATTAATAATTTATACTTATATTTTTACAATTTTTTAATATTTATATTTTTTTTTTGTTTTTGCAAAAAAAAACAAAGATATAAACAATAGAATTATGAGAAAATAAAATAATTAAAATAAATTGTCAAATCTATTTTTTTATCAGTTGGTTTAATTTAATAAAAGAATAAAAAATATTTAGAAATTAAATAATATATATATAAGACGTAACGTAATGGGCTAAAATATCATTAACATTATTTTCTTACAACGATAAGTTGAAATTGGATCACATAAACCTTTTGTTTTATAAAAGAAGTGATAATTTTCCAGCTGCTAATTAAGGAAACCAAATGTTAAATTCATAGAAATTATGGGAGTTGTGGCCCAAGTATTCAGGGGTTGGATCTATTTGTAGGGATCAGGTTTTAACGAATTTTTGTATTGAAATAAGGATATCATATTTTTGAATGATCAATTCAAACACTTTTAGGTCTAGGAATATATGATGAAAATGTGATTGCATGTGAGATATACGAGTTAATATTATAGTGCAACCGCATACCAATGAGTAGTACTATAAAAGTTTTATCAAGTTATTCAAAATATTAATAGGATGAAGCTCATGAAATATATAAATCTTTGCAAATGAATTCTTATGCGTCAAACCATGTTAATGTTCCTAGACGATGCTTTTTTCAAGATAGGGCATTGGTTGTGTGGCTAGCGTTCAGGGACGAGCCATGATTAAACATTGACAGAGATTAAAATATTAAACATTTTAAGGAAAATATAACGACTTATTAGGTATTTAAACTCAAAATTTAGAAGATAATCTTTAATTTGTCTAATATTTAAATTTACAATGACATAAATTATTATTAGACCAAAAAATTTGAGAACACGGGATTATCATTCTTTAGTTCCACCCCTACTTGATTAAATATTTAATAAAATATTTTATTTTTTAAATACTTAATTTTACATGAACCAAAAATACTCTCAGACCAAAATTTATCGAATATATAAAATTTTTACGGAGGCCGAAGTACCTTTGGGCCCCAACAGAGCACTATCTTCTACTAGCACTGGAACACTCATGGAAAGATTGATTTTGTGAGAGGGACATTTGGTGTTACTTGCGATGTCTTCTTTTTTTTCTTTTCTTTTCCTCACCATATGTTTATGTGATACTCTTCATGGATTAACTAGAGATAAGGATGATTGTTTTTATTTTTGAGAAAGATCTTGACTGGTTCTTTTGATTGTAAGGTTCATCCACGTTTATTGCGTCAATTATTGATAAGAACAAGTTAATCTCATCATTTGTTGATGATTCGTCCCTTCTAGTTTAGACGAATAGTCGTGATCGGTGAGATAAAGATCGTTGGTCGATATTTCTCTATGAAAGAGATGAAAACATGATAGGAAATATGAGAGTCTAACAGCAAGAAGTGGCCAAAATCTCTTTTCCAAACATGACTAATAGATTTATAGTAATTCTAGCTAACGGTGTCAGACATAAAGTCAGTATGACTACTCATAAATCAATAGGCTAAATAAATGTAATAGTCAAATTTTCAAAATTTAAATTGATAAATGACATAAATTTGTCAGAAGTTTTCTCTATATGTTGAAATTAGTTTAGAGGCCATAATATTTTTATGCTCTAAGCATACAAATTACTTGAAGGCTTCAATAAGCAAAAAGGTTTATTCAAAAGTCTTTATCAACAAATTGTTGGACAAAACCATTAAGTTTGAGAATAATATAGATAATAAAATAATGATAAATAATAATTAAATATCATTATAAAAATTAATGATAAAAAATGAGCTTATTTGTTTTAGGATTGTAAAAATTATAACAGTCTGAGACCATAATTACAATTGAGAAAATAAACAAATTAGATTAAACTTCTTAAATAAAATAAATAGAAAGAAAATATTCTTTTCTTGATTGATCTTTTAATCGAAAACAGTTGAAGTCTATCGTTATAGAATTCACAAATTTTCAACCATTTATTTGATGCTTGAAATCATTAACCACAATTTTAAAAATCACAAACTATCATTGCCTTCATCAATCATCAAAAAACTAGTATAAAAAACTTTTCTTCTTTTGAACTAGTCAAAATTGTAATTAATGTTAACTTAAGGGAATTTTAAGAAAGATTTACTTTAATTAAATATCTTTTAATATTTTAATTTAAACAAATAATAATATCTTTTAATTTAAAATATTCAAGATAAAATCACATTTTCTATTTAAACTTAAATAAATATTATTTTAATTTAAATATTCAAAAAAGATATAACTATCTTTAATAGTCAGAATTAAATAAATATCAAATACCTTTGAATTTGACATATTCAAAGATAATTATCCTACTAATATTAAAATTAAAAATCTCTTTTACCTTGTAATATTCAAAAGGAATAAGAATTTAATTTAAATATTAAATCCATAGACAAAAAAAAAATCCAAGAATTTTATAACAATTACTATTATTTTGTATAGGCTTTAATGCAGTGGTGCGCGAATACTCTCCAGCTTATGTGATAATCTGAAAAAGAGTTAGACGTACAGATCCACCGGAAGTTGATCGAGCTGAGATGGATTCCCACTACCTAGTGATGGATTCACATATAAGAGCAGGTAGGCCCAGCCACAACAATTATCTTCATTTTGACATGTGTATACGCAGGTAACTCAGAGAAGAATATGAAAATTTTCAACAGCCTAACAAACAGATTTCCCCTTGAACCAAGTCTGACCTACAACTCTACACCAGAACACCCAATAAAGGGGCTAAAACTAAGCATTTACAACTCTAAGCCCTCTCGCCCCTGATCCTACGAGCCAACTGGATATCCTTAGGCATAATGGTAACCCTCTTAGCGTGAATGGCGCACAAGTTGGTATCTTCAAAAAGCCCAACCAAGTAAGCTTCAGCCGCCTCCTGTAGAGCCGCCACGGCACTGCTTTGGAATCTCAGATCAGTCTTGAAATCCTGAGCAATTTCTCTTACCAGCCTTTGGAATGGTAGCTTCCTTATCAGGAGTTCAGTGCTCTTTTGGTACTTCCGGATCTCACGCAACGCCACGGTCCCTGGCCTGAACCTGTGTGGCTTCTTAACTCCACCTGTCGCCGGGGCTGATTTCCGAGCGGCTTTCGTGGCTAGCTGCTTCCTTGGTGCCTTGCCTCCGGTTGATTTTCTGGCGGTTTGCTTCGTTCGAGCCATTTGGTTACCGAAAGATGATAACGAAATCTAATGTTTTCCTGTTTGTTTCTCCGGAAAATGAAAGAAAACTTCAATGATGAATGAGGCGGAGATCTGGGTTTGTTATATAGAGGAGTTGAGAAACGTGGGAGATTTGAAACTTTTGAAAAATTGTAGTGGAGGGAGAAGAACGTTCTTTTCTTTTCTTTTCTTTTTGATCATACAGTGGAAAGAGAGTTTGACGAGGATAGTGATCCGCGTGAAGTGGAAAGGACCAATAGGATTTGTTCTCTTAGGCGCCAAATTTATTATTTTTACACCTTGGATCTCTGGAAATTTTCAAAACTAATGCCGTATTTCGTGTAGTGTATGTACGGGAGATTGCCGTTTTGGAACTTTTATATTTTTATGAAATTTATTTTAAGATTCATGATTGATATTTTTATATATTTTGCGTTAGAAATTAATATATAAATCGTGTTTTCTTTACAATATTTTCAAAAATATAAAAATGGTCTATGGTGTACTTGTCACCTCCAAAAACATACTTTTGGGTTCTGATTCAAACAATGATGGAATAAAAATTTTAAATTTTAAATTTTTATATATTTTAGAATTTTTTATATTTTTTATTGAAAATATATTTTTATTCATCTCTAAAATTTTATAAATTTTCTCATATTAAACATTTTACAAGTTTGACTTCTTAACATGAAATTATGTGTCCATCTCTGTCTTCAAATATATTGTTATGCCTTTACGAAGTTATATGATCAACATTTATAGATAAAAGTTAATATTCAATTAAATTGACTTAAATCAATTTACATCAAAACATATTTTTAAAAAAATATATGACTAGTAGATCAAGTTGTTTATTTTTATTTTCTCATATTTCCTTAATCCTTAGATTATGAGTTTTACCTACTAGAAGGACTATTTTTCCTTCTCTTAGAGTCTCTTCTCTTCTCATCCTCTCTAAGATTAATATTAGATTTAAAATTTATCAAAAAGATATTTTGAATTATTTAAATTAATGAGTCTTATTGGTGAGTAATTTGATCGATGAAAATATTTAATAGGGATGAATTGATAAATAAAAAAATTATGGAAATTCTTAAAAAAATAAGAAAATTTGATAAAATAATTTAGAGTAATTTAACTTATCTAATGAAATTTATATCCACTGTTTTAATTATTCATATTAAATATTTATATCTAAAAATTTAAGACAATATATTTTCAAAGATATAAATACAAATAACAAATAATGAAAACATTCACAATAAAATATATTTATCATACATACATGCATACATTATAGATACATATTTTACATGAATGTTTTACATAGTACATGCAATTTAGTTCAATTTAATTTTAATTTTACATTTTACATTATACAATTGTTTGAAGTTGATCCCATGCTGTTTAATTTATTTGAATTTTACCTTGTAATTTCATGTTTGTTTAATTTAATCTTTAAAAGTATATTTTTGTCTGAAATTAGCTGATAATTATTTCTATTTTTGTATTTTACTCCAAACCATATACAAACCCAAACTGAATCTAATTTCAAATCAACCTAAAACTGACTCTAACCTGAGTCGACCTGGACCTGATTTGATTCGAGTTCACCGTTGAATTAACCTAACATAACTTGTATCTGATTTGATCTAACCTGAGATGACCGGACCTGAAACCTGAACGATTACCTGATTTCACATCTGTATTGATAATATCTCTATAAGCCATCCAAGAAACCGTTTCTCATTCGAGCAACACAAATAACTTAGACAATCGGTAATATGTTACTTTAGCGATTGAAGTTATAGGTAAATGTTATTTCCCCTTCAAAGATGAACTGATCGCCTCAACCAAATTAGTAGTCATACGAACATATCGATGATCCCATCATATATCAAAGCCCATTTATCTTTAGGGATGCGAACAATGTAGTCATACTCGTCCTTATTTTTTTTCCTTCAATTCTTCTAGCATCTCCTCAAATCGGTATGGAAGCAATTTGTACCCTAGTAATTCAATATCAATCCGTTATAGAGAAACAATAAATACAATGATCATTCATATTAAAAAATATATATAAAAGAAGTACAAGTGCATATCACAAGTTGACATTGATCATTTTTTTATACTTTATATGATAATGTGATGCAATATGCTGTACATAGTAGCGGTGAAATATATGTGGAAGTTGCTAAGATCAGCCCAAGCGGTCGTCTCTGCTTTAATCTCAGTTTCTTTATTAGAAATTATGTATATGTCATATTTTTTTAACAATATGCGTCCATAAGTTGTTGAGAAAAAATTGGCATGGGTCGTATCCACATTCTCAATTACATCGAAGACTAGCAGAAGAGTTTTGTGATTATCATCTTATAAAACTGTCAATAACAATGTTTGACTGTATTTTTCATACATCAATGTGCCATTAATTTAGACTACTGATTTGCAGTATTGAAAATCGTTATAAAATTGGAATTTCGGTCCTTTTTTAATTCGTTAAAGGCTATTTTTTTTTAAAAAAAATCTGATTATAAATTAATATCTGCTGTCTAATGATTAATTTGATTAATCTCACGCAGACTTATAAATAAAATTACTTGAACTTGAGTTACATAGAATAAATAATTTTCCAGGCTTTAGTGAATAGGTCTCCCAGTAGAGATTTTCTGCATACACAAATATTCAAACTCGAAATCTTACTTAAACGATATCAAATTACTTACAGTGATATGAATGATATCCTAATATAATTTTAAATATGTTTAAAATATTATTATTTGAACTTTTTATTTCTATAAAATCTATTGTAGATCTTTGTCAACTTTTTGACTGGATTTTTCAAATAATGCAATGGAAAAAAATAATTGCTCGAATAATGCACCTGAGAGATTATTTCGTGAAATAGGACGAATACTATAGTGAACCCCGAAGATGCATTGGAGTCCAAGCGACTTACCCGAAACCCCCTTGAAAACGCATTGGAGTCCAAGCGTCTTACCGTTCCCCATGAAGACGCATCCCCCTCCATACGACCAGCCAACCCATCGACAGAGCCCCTCGAAGATACATGGATTGCCATGCGTCTTCCCCCTCGCATGCAACGCTCGTGGCAACTGTAACATTCCCCGCGTTTTCCTCACGTTGCATGGGTCATGCACGGACGATGAATACCCAACGTAAACCCCTCGAAGACGCATGACTTTCCATGCGTCTTCCCCATCCCCTGCATGCACCCTAATTGGTGGAGAGAACCCCTCGAAGATGCATGGCTTTTATTACCTCTTCCCCCCTCTGTATGCACCCATTGTCATACGTCTTCCCCCTCGCTGAACGCTCATGGCCCCCTGCATGGTAATTGGCGTCATATGCCCGTGAAGCCTCTGCATGCATGGCAGTAGTAGCAAAGTACGAGGGGAGAGGGAAGGGGGAGGGGGTTGATTCCTATGTAAGTGCATCTCCCGCATGAGTCTTCCGGGTCCCATAGCGTAGCCGACAAAGTCGCATAGCATGCCAGTGACGTAGGTGCAGTAGGTAGTTGGCATTCAAATGATAAAAGTGTAATCCATACTCCTATCATATCCTAACCTATACCCCGTAAGAACAAGTTGAACATTAAAAAAAATTCTTTCTACTATATATATGTAAGAATGAAATCGAGGCAATTGCAATTCAGAAAATTGATACAGGGAGCAGAATCAATTGCAATTCAGAAAATTGATACAGGAAGCAGAAGCAATTGTAAAGAAGATTAACAGAGGGAGCATTTCAAAAAATTTGGTGTGTTTTTTCTTTCGTTATTCTAATTTGAGTATGTTTTATATGGTAAATTGGTTTAAATTTATGTTATTTTGTCTGAAATTAGTCTAATAGTTTGTTTTTTTGGAAGAACGAAAGTGAACTAAGTTTGAAGAAATTTTATTTGAGGTATTTTGTTATTATTTTTATAAATATTTGTTAATGTTATGATTGTTGTTATATATATTATGTTTTATTTTAAATAAAAATTTTTTGATGTTGTAGAGAAAACGAGCAACAACTTTTTTTCACGATTGTCTATTATAATGGACATATTATGGAAAATGAGGTCGGAGTTGTTTTCCAGTTTGAAAGACCTATAAATATGATGTTCAAAAGGGACATCATATTTGTAGAAAAGAATCAGAGGAAAGAAAATAAAATTCGAGCTACCGTTGATGGTTTGAAGTACAAGTTCATGGTATGTCCTAATCCAGTTAAATATGTTGTAGTACCAGTTGAAGAAGATGGTGATATTGGAACCATGATTGGATTACATGAGTCAACAAATATTTCAGTTATTGAGTTATTTGTTTATGTGCATAACATATCTAATGTTCATGGGTCATCAAGAAATGTGGCTGGAAATTCATCTCCAATGGCTTTCGAAAGTGAGTTTGAGAACCCGACATACAGATCGATAAACAATTTTATGGCGCTATTGGAAAGTGGAAATGAAGTCAGTGGAACATCCGCAGTAGTAGAGTATGAGGAGAGAAACATATATAACTCAGAATTGACTGTTGATGTTGATGCTAAAAATCGATAGGGAGAAATCCATGATGATTCCAGCGAATATGAAGAAACCGAGAAACCAGTTTTAGCCGACGATGATAAATTGGCTATGGTGGTGCACCTAACCTGGCCGCTAATGAAGTTCCAACACCGTATTAACCTACTCATCACATGTACAAGATCGATTATGATGCGATGAGGGCACCAGAATTCCCAGACATGCCATTTATACATCCATACCACATGGCTGAATCATTCAAAAATTCTGGTGAATTTTTGGTTGGGATGCAATTTAGAGGAAAAGATGAAGCTACGCTGATGATTAAAGAGTATTACATTAAAGGTCATGTTGATGTCCATATTGTAGAGTCCGCCCAAAAAACCATATATGCTAAGTGTGTTAAATATGGCCAAAGAGTGCAAGTGGAAGATCAGAGTATCCAAAATTCAAAGGCACGATGCTTGGGTCATCACAAGTAGGGGTGGGAATAGGCCAGGCCGACCTACAAA